AGGCGTCCGCCCCGCCCCGCAGCAAAAGAAGGGTCAACGTCAAGCTTCCCACCACTTGCCGGTGGCGGAGTGTGAGCAGGCTGCAGGGCTGCATCCGACTCACCCCGAGATCCTCCCTCCCCCCGAGTCACTGCGCACCGGTTGTGGGTCGCCAAGCCATCCGTACTCGGCGGGAGCGGGGTGGAGGTTGACTCTCTGGATGAAATGTCCAGGAAGGAGAAAACCCAAACCATGGCCCTCCTACGTCCCCTAACTCCATCTCACCCCACTTCCACACGTCACGTTTTATTAAATTTTCTCTTCCCAACCTGTGAGAATTTCCCGGGTCTTGTCATGATGTTCTCCCTTCATGATGCCGTCCATTTGTGGCCATCCTGCCCAGGCCAGATTACCACCTTTTCTGGATGTTTTCAGTGCCTTTCTCTGCCCCTCTCATTCTATCTCTGAGCCACTGTGGTCAACTAGAGGTCGTCCCTCTAGCACTAAACCCAGTGGCAGTATTTCAGGGAAGTATTTCTGTTACTTGTGGTCCATGGTCTGTGCTTACCTGCCCTGTCCCAACCCATTTTACAAGATGGAAAGATGGTCCTAGGGACTGAATCTTGCCCAGGGCACAGAAGCAGAAGACTCAGGGCAGTCTTTGTCCGGTAGGCAGTATGGTTTCTACCATGGAGAGGCCCATCACTGACAGCATGCTTGTCCTGGGGCATGATGCCCTTGACCTCAAACCAGCTGGCCTCACATGCACACTGAGGATTTGTACCTTTAGGCTCACCCTTGCAAGAAACAACCAAGGCTTTGACTTCATATGCACTTCTAAAAACAAAACAACCCCCCCAAAAAAACAAATAAAAACAATAGGCTATTGCCATCGTTCTTGGTTGCCTACCACAACTAGATGGTCAAACTCTGCTGCTGAGGACACCACACCATGTCATTGCAGGACACAGAGAGATCAGGCTGAACCAGAGTTGACACCTTCCTCTCAGATGGCTAGCTTTCACAGAGATGGGAAGTGCTATGCAATCCACTGGGGAAGAAAAGCCACCAGTGGCCTCACCTCGTGCTAGACACTTTGTGTACCCACTGATGAAATACTGGCACAAAAATCATGGGGTAACCAAACACTGTTCTGTTGGATTTAAGGCCTGCCCCTCAGGAGAGAACTCATGCCTGTACTATAAACTGGTTAAAAGCCCATGGCCATGGAGGTCATGAGACCTAACTGCTGTCCTGCTGGATGGATGTGTCAAATTGCCATCTATTCATGTTTGTACACATTAGTGGCCAGAGAAGCTGCTCTCTGCAGAGGCCAACAATTAATGAAGGGATTCATAACTAGCCAAAATGCCAAGAATACGTGACTATTGAGTGCTCAGCCATGAAGGGGTCTGTGTCAGTCCCTGTTTCCTCTTAGGGAGAAGCACTGAAGAGGGGGCGGAAAGAATGTATGTGTGGAGGATGGGGAGGAGTGCTACCAGTACTGTTTTCTGGACATCACAGTCATTACACTCATGAAATCACTGAAGCTATGGTTGTCTGCTCAAATCCTGCTCAAGATCAGTCAACATTCCAACAGGCAGCACTAACTGGCTCAGTAAGTTGCTATTTTTTTTCCCCCAGTGCAGAGGACCAAAGCCAGGGCCTTGTCCTTGCTAGGCAAGGGCTCTACCACTGAGTTAAATCCCCAACCAGATCTAGTAGCTTCCAAAGAAAACAAAAACAAAAACCAAGAAAGGACATGAAAGGGATATGTTGGGCATTTGGGGTAGCTGTGGAGTGGGAATAGAGATTTGGTGGTATACATAATCAAGGTATATGAAATAAAAGAAAAAATAAAAGATCTGTGGGGATTTTTTTTTTTTTTTTGAGACAGTGTCTCATTTAGCCTAAACTGGCCTCAAACTTGCTATGTAACCCAGGATGACTCTCTTGCCTTTGCCTCCCTAGAGCTGGGGTTTTAGGCATGTACCCTATACACTAGGTGCTGGGGGCTGAACCCAGGGCCCGTTCACACTACAACTACACCCTTACAACTGAGTTGTTTGAACCAGGGTCTGGCTCTCGATAACCTGTAACTCACTGTGTAAACAAGACTGGCCTCAAACTCACAGAATGCTGCCTCCAGAATGCTGGGATTAAAGGTGTGTGCCACCACTGCCTGGTTTGTTTTTGCATTTTTCATTCTGAGACAAGGTTTCACACTAAGTTGCCCAGGCTAGTTTGAACTGACTCTGTAGTCCAGGCAGACCTTGAACTTTCATTTCAACTGTTTCTGGAGTAGCTGTGATTACAGTCATATATCTGCAGGTCTGATTAGCGTTGATTCTTCAGAGGATGGGGAGGCTGAAGTTCAAAGAGGTTAGGGACCCTAGCTAGTATTTGTGTCAACTTGACACAAGCCAGAGTCATCAGAGGAAGGACCCTCAGTTGAGGAAATGCCTCCATGAGATCCAATTGTAAGGCATTTTCTCAATTAGTGATCAATCAGGGATTAGTGACCATGGTGGGTGGGGCCACCCCTGGGCTGGTGCTCCTGGGTTCCAAAAGAAAGCAGGCTGAGCAAACCAGTAAACAGCTCCCCCCATGGCCTCTGCATCAGCTCCCACCTCCAGGTTCCTGACCTGCTTGAGTTCCTGTCCTGGCTTCCTTAAGTGATGAACAGCAATGTGTAAGTGTCAGCCAAATAAAGCCTTGCCTCTCCAACTTGCTTTTTGGTCATGGTGTTTTGTTGCAGCGATGGAAACACTAAGACAGACCCCTTCCCCCAGAGAGTACACAGCTGGTAGGTGGCAGGGCTGGAACTTGAACTGATGGGCTGAGAATCCCCTGTGCTGGTCTATGTGGTGTTGTGGGAGTTGGAGGGAAGAGACTTGCCACCCTACACCTATAGCATCCAAGTTCTGTGGTTAGTGACCCCATCTGCTGCGGTTCCCAGGGACTGCTAGACAAGACATGTAGAGTCTGGCATGTAGGAGGTGCTTTAGGGAGTGGAATACGGGCTGCTGAGTTTGAGGTGTCAAAGATGAAATTGGAAGGACATTAGTGTAGCAGCTTGAAGAGGGTGGCCACTTGGGAAGAGACCCTAGCATGGGGTCAGTTCATTATGGTACCCCTGGGGCCCAGGGCATTAGGTTTCAGGTTCCTGCTGCCCCATATTGCAGACGTGGCAAGAGCTTCATAGAACAAACACTAAACCCAAGACTAGTTAGGACAGCTACCTTCAGAAAGGCCCTCAGAGTTACGGTGGCTCGTGTGGCAAGAGACCCAGAAGATGCTGAGCCCTGCAGCCTAAGGTACTTACTAATCTTGATTCTGGCGAGGTGACACATTAGAGCATCCTGACAATAGCAAACACAGGGAGGTGGCTTGGAGTGGCTGAGCATCCATCCAGACACATGGTTTGGTTTACTTAAGTAGTGAGTGTAGGGTCTGCTCATGGCCTCGGAGAGCAGGGAACCCCCTATCATGAAGCAAGCTTTGGCCTCCCTCAAGGCTTCCCACTCTTCACTCAGGTCTCCAAGAGTGGTGCAGGACCATCTTTTTGCAGCCAAAAAAAAGCTTGAGGCCAGAATGGATCTCAGTCAGTAGAGTGCTTGCCTAACATACACAAAGTCCTGACTTCCATCCCCAGCAATGAATGAACCAGGCTTGGTGGCACAAACCTGTAAGTAATTCCAGAATTTGAGAGGTGGAGGCCAGCCTGGGTTGTATCACAAAATTAAAAAAGGAAAAAAAAAAAAAAAAAAAAAAAAAAAAAAAAAAAAAAAAAGATAAAGCCAGGTGTGGTGGTGCACTCCTTTAAGATATAGTGAGTTCTGGGGCAGCCAGAGTTATGTAGAGAGAGAGACCCTGCCTCCTAAAAAGATGGAAGGGATATAAACAAATAGACAGAAAGGAAAAGGAAAACAAGAGGAAAGCGAGCTAGTCCCAACAGCTGGCTTTCCAATTTGGGCAGAAAATAGGGGGTAGCTGCCAGAACACAAGCCCTAGGGCCTCCTGCTCTTGGTCCCAGCAGACCCCACCAGCTCCCCACTCCCACCCCACCCCACCAGAGTAAAAGGGAGCGTCCAGAAGGACTGAACACATTCTGGGGTCCTCTCACCTCACTGCAGACCGAGGCCAGGTTGTTCCTTTCAGGGTGTGAGGTCCTCTGTCCCCACACTTGGGAGGCAGGGAACGGTCATTGACAGCTGTAGCTCTCTGGGGGCTGGGCGTATGGGGGTCTAAGACATGTGAAGCACAAGTGTCCTGTCATGTGGGCATTATAAGAAGCGGGCCAGTGAGGCTTGGGCTTCAGGTTCAGGTGACCCAAGGGTTTAGAGCAAACCGTTTCCAGTACCAAGTTGGGGAGGGCAGCTCTATGCACAGTCCAGCCCCTGCCTCACTTGTATACTGCTGGGCTATTGGCGCCCAGGCCCAAAGGCTCATTGGTGGATTGTCTCTGAAGTAAATGGTGTGTATGCATGGGGATTGGGGTGGGGTGGGGTG